GAAGTATGCATTTTGGCAGGCATATCATGTAAAACTAAAAAACTCGTTAATATTAAATTTACATTTTAATTTTGAAAAAATACACCAAAATAAACTAAATACTTCGAAAAAAAAAAAAATAGCTTCTAAATCTTTTTACCGACCGTATTGTGTAAACAAAGTAGGGAAGTGTAAATAAACTATTTTTAGCAACCTGTCGGTCTGTCGGTCTGTCGGTCTGTCGGTCTGTCGGTCTGTCCGTCTGTCGGTCTGTGTGTGCACGCGTGTATCTCAAGTTCGGCTGAACCGATTTTGATGAAATTTTATATGTAAGTTTATTTCCACCATGGCACGGATCGATCAACTTTTGGTATATATCAGGCCTCGGGAACTGCACTTTTTAGCGGGCCTGTTTTGCATTTTTGAGCATATTGAAGAACATATTCAACCGATTTATTTGAAATTTCATATATAAGTTTTGCTCTACCGGCGATGAAACCTCCTAACTTTTGGAAGAAATCAGGCGTCAGCAACTGGACGTTTACTACGGGCCAAATATACATTTTTGTGTATATAAAGAGAAATAATCAACCGATTTCATTGAAATTTAATATTTGAGTTCCTCGTATTAAAACAATGAACATGTAAATTTTTTGGAAAGATCAGGCATCGGCAACTAGACGTTTACTACGGGCCAAACATACACTTTTGTGTATATAAAGAGAAATAATCAACCGATTTCATTGAAATTTAATATTTGAATTGCTTGTATTAAAACAATGAACATGTAAATTTTTTGGAAAGATCAGGGCTCGAAAACTGATCTGCGGGCCGATTTTACATTTTTCACCATATCTACGGAGCGAATTGATGGAGTTTCTTGAAATTTGATATTTGAGTTCTGGTTGTTATCGAAACTAGCTGGCGAGCATTTCAGGGAATTCGGGTAGCACAAAGCGAAACTCTACTAAGAGTCAAATTTACATTTTTCTAGGTATGCTAACTATAAGCTTACTAATGTCCTAAAAATTGGAAAGAATATTCTGTAACACTTTCACTTAACTAGACAATACACATTACGGTCGGTTATGCGCTGACCACATCAGATTTTTTTTTCTTGTAGTGTAACATTTATTGAAATCTTAAAAAAATTAAAAAACTTCGAAGTTTTTTTTAAATCAATATTTTAATGTTTTAATAACACAAAATTATAAGAATGTAAGCACTAGGAAAGTAGAAAAAGATTGAATTTTAATTTTTTCTAATTAAAAATTTCAAAAAAGTTGTGGGAGATTTATAATGTTAAAAAGGGTCCTCTATAGATCGCATAAAAATACGTGTAAATTCGTCAGCTGTGAACTGTCTCTCTCTCTCTTAGGGTGCAGGACTATATTTCTATCAGTCGTGGAAAATGATGATGCTGTTATTTTCTCAATGTTTTAAATCTTACAGCTATCGAAACATGTTTTTTTTTGCCTATGTCAAAAGATTTTCTAAAAAATATTTGTTTGCTTGATAAATACTTTGAATGATAAATACGTTTATTAAATATTTAAAAGTTTTTAAAAGGTTTTTCAAATTTTCCGTCTGGCTTATTTTTTTCTTTTAAATGAGAATTTTTTTCCTTTTAAGCTTTATGCCAGATAGGCCTAGTATGAGCTTACCAATGAGTCTTTTTATAATGAATGGCTATCAAATAGAGAGTAGTTTATTTATTGATCTTAATAGTGTAGCTTTTTTGTGAGAGTTTATTCACTCATAATTGTGTGAATAGGCACTCATAACTCCTGGAAAAATTTATTCTAATTTTAATGGAATTTATTGATTCATTTATTGAAATATTGTTAGAATATGTCAATAACGAATCAGTGGAATCTATCTCTCCTTTTTCTGTATTGGGATTTCCGACCTACGTGGGATTATTATTCGATGACCATCTACTTATAACCGAAAGAATTTTTCTAACAATCATCTCGGCTAAATTTTTACTGACCGCATTGTGTATACAATATTTAGGTTATTTGATGGCAACAAATTTTGCATATCGAGTTTTCGGTGGGAATGCACTTCTCCATAGTAGGGAAGTGTAAATAAACTATTTTTAGCAACCTATCGGTCTGTCGGTCTGTGGGTGCACGCGTGTATCCCAAGTTCAGCTGAACCGATTTTGATGAAATTTTATATGTAAGTTTATTTCCATCATGGCACGGATTCATCAATTTTTAGGATATATCAGGCCTCGGGAACTGCACCTTTTTGCGGGCCTGTTTTACATTTTTAAACATTTTGAAGAACATATTCAACCGATTTACTTGAAATTTCATATATAAGCTCAGCTCGACCGTCAGCAACTAGACATTTACTACGGGCCAAATATACATTTTTGTGTATATAAAGAGAAATAATCAACCGATTTCATTGAAATTTAATATTTGAATTCCTCGTATTAAAGCAATGAGCATATAAATTTTTTGGAAAGATCAGGACTTGAAAACTAATTTGCGGGCCAATTCTACATTTTTCACCATATCTACGGAACGAATTTATTGAATTTCTTGAAATTTGATATTTGAGTTCTGGTTGTTACCGAAAATAACTGACGAGAATTTCAGGGAATTCGGGTAGCACAAAGTGAAACTCTACTAAGAGCCAAAGTTACATTTTTCTAGATATGTTAAGTATAAGCATACTAATGCCCTAAAAATTGGAAAGAAGTATTTAACAGACATTTTTGTAATATTCTGTAGAACTTTCACTTAACTAGACAATACACAATGCGGTTGGTTATGTGATCACCCATATTCTGTTTGTCGTGTCAAGTCACCTCAAATATGCCTTTCCTGTAGTCGTGTCTATAGACGCGATAAAGTATTTTAAGGTTGGTAGATTAGCACCTGACATAATGTCACTAAAGAACGTGACATGGTTATTTGCATTTAAACCACGGCTGTAAAAATAATATTAAGTGTATTATAATTTTTTACTTCTAATTTTCTTAGATATGATGCCTGACGAAGCGGTTGAAAACAAATGCGGGAAAATACATATATATAAACAAAATTATAGTTAAAATTTCGATTTGAATTTTGAATTTTTGATATGTTGCTCAGAAAACTACAAATAACATTTTAATATGAAAATTGTTAGGTCTTATTCAATATTGTTCATAGTAAGTTTTAACACAAACGTTCACAAAACAAGAAAAGCTCGTCCAGGCCTTAATATTTTTGCTATGTCAATGTTTGCAATATTAATTTAGGGGCCTTTTTAATTCCTTGCATTGCAACTTTCCACAGCATTTTAAACAAATTTTGTACATCTTATTGCAAATATATTGCATATCAAATTTTAAAATTTTTCAAAAGAAATTTCCTATCTTAAAATTGTATAGATAAAATTATGCTCTTTTTGAAAGCACTGCTTTTCAAAATAAGAACAGCAAATTTTATAATAATTTTTTATTATAAAATTTTATAACATAAATTTTATAATAAAAAATTAATAATTACTAATATTCTGCTGTTTCCACGTTCATATTATAGACTTTTTACCTACATACTTATGTAAAGAAATTTTTTTATAAACTCTATCACCCATATTCTGATAGTGGCATCGCTAGACGCGAAGGGTTGTTATTCAAAAATTTGTAGTTTTGCAGCATAAAATCATTTCCAAAAGTTGAAATATACTGAAAACTAAAATACTTTTCAATAATACCCCATCACCCCAAGTGAATTTTTAATTAAACAAATAATATAAGTGTATATTTTTTAACACAAAACTTAATTCTTTTATGGGAAATTAAATCATTCTCAGCTTTTTTAAAAATTTACTTTTAAATTATTTAAGTTTATTAATTTTAATTATAATTTTTTCTAGTTTCAATTTTTATTTTCACAAAATTCTTTCTTATTATTTTTGTGATAAATAAAGTGTACTCATTACAAAAATAATAATGAGAAAGAATTGTCATCCTAAAAATACTAAATTTTTAGCGTATCATGTACATTCTCTATGGGGACTCAACTGTTTTTCAATTTGGACGAAAATTTTTTTTTGTATTGCTTGTTTGTATTGCTTATTCATTTTCAAATGTGTGAACGATAATTGATGAAAAAGTGAACTATTTGAGAAAAAAATATAGTAAATTAAAGAAAAATTTTTGTGACGTGACTTCATTTTTAACAAAACAAATTTAATAAAAAAAAATTGGATAAAAAATAATATCACAAATTAAAGTTTTTTAAAAAATAAAGCATACCCCAAAATAAGAATTTCTCTTGGAATTTATATATTTATATACATTTTTTTTTTTTTTTTTTTTTCCTTTGTTCACTCCTAGAAGGAGCATAGGGCTAGTGCATGATTTCTCATGCACTAGTTTCATAGCGTCATAGGGTTTAACTAGGTAGGTGACTAGCCTGCCGTAGTTTTTTATTTATATATTAATTATTTGAGGTTATTAATATTTACTATTTATTTTTCTTAGTTTTTTTTTTTTTAATATCGAATATTAGGAATATTTGAAAATTACTTGTATAACATTTTTATTAGTATTGTATATTAAGTTATAATAATATTGAATATAATTTTTATAGTGACCTGACCGGGGTTTGAACCCGAGACCCTTCGGTTAAAGGACCGGTGCCATAACCACTGCACCAATGGTCAGATATATTTATATACATATGTAATTACAATTTTGTAGTTTTATTGCTAAGTAAATTTAAAACAGTGAAAGCAAAATTAAACATTTTGCGAATTTTGTTTAAAATTTTGTTAAAATGTTTTAAATGGAAATAGTACGTACTGAATTTTGTATGTAAATGTACGAACTAATTTTCATACGCGTATTCCAATTTGTTTCGTACTGCAATGCAACATTTCTGTAAATTATGAATTTAGTATTTTCTGTAAATTATATTTTTGTACAAAATTTATTACAAAGTATATTATATTTATATATTCACCTAAATATATTCACCAGGAAAACTCTATAAAATTATGATGTTTATTTCCAGATCCAGATCTACCAAAGAGTATTCTTCATAATTACGCAAAAAAGAATAATATTCCGATGCCTATATATGAAACGTTTCAAAAAGATAAACTATTTCGAACGAAATTGAAATACAATGGGAAAAGGTATGCGAGTACTTTTTGGGAAAAAAACAAAAAATATGCAGAACAAGGAGCTGCTTTAGTTTGCATTTTGTTCATAGGATTAGTAAGCGAAGAATCATTAATAAAAAATGGTAGTATTTTGAAGTAGAAATTATTTGTTTTGATTTCCAATTTTCAAATAAAACGCAAAATAGGAGAAATTTATTATTTTTTTTACGAGCAATAATTACGAAATAAGGAAAGAACTTCTTATTCTTGGCGTAAGAAAAAGGCTTGTTTGGGTAAGAAGCAGTCCTTATTGGAACCTTTCTAAAACATTTGATCTGAATTGTTAATATGCTGAAATTTTGGGTTAAAAGTTAATTGTTCATTATTTATATGTATATTTATCAATTTTATAAAGCTATTTATTTTTCTTTTTTAAAAGGAAACCAAATATGTACGCAAGTCATGTTCTACAGATTTTATGTAAGTTCTACATAATACATTTGTGTGTATCTATGTACGTATGCTACTAAAAATTTTCAAAATTCGTTTGAATTTACGAAATTTTTTGTATTGACTGAAACTTTTTGAACACTTATTTTTTACATAAATCAAATTTATATTTACAATATTCAAAATTTATTTCACTATATCTTAAAAGCTATATGTAAACTTCGATATTGAAATTTGGCGTAAGTGAATATATTAGTAGGGCCGATGTGTTTGATAAAAGTCGTTGATATTTCTTGGCTCCTTCTGGTAGCTGCCATACAACTTGAAAAGTTATTTGGCTATATTTCAGAAATTATAAATTCTGTGATATTGAAATTTCACACAAGTTAATATATAAGTAGGGCTCATGTGTTTGATAACATTCGTTTAAATTGCTTTTCTCTTTCTGGTACCAGAAATACAACTTCCATAGTTGTTCGGCCATATCTTAGAAAATATTGAAAAAACAGCACTAAAATTTTGCACAAAATAATATGGCAGCTAAAAGTCATAGACTCTTCCATAGTCAGCTATAACATATTACATACTTACATAGAATAGTAAATTCATACGGGTTGTCACGGTCAACTCTATTTTTTTTTGTTTTTTTTTTAAATATATGTATTTGTTTTTTCTATATCACAAATAAAATAAAAGAAAATAACTTCATAATACTTCAAAGAATTTTAAAAAGAATTTGTTGGACATATGAGGTGACATTGCTGAATGTAACATTTAACCCTTTCGCGACTCTTAGCACCCATATGTACCAGCAAAATTTAAAAAAGACTAGAAGCCATTAGATATCTGTTTAGCTTTATCAAATATGTACCATATCATTTTTTATAATGTTTTTAAAAAGGGAAAACCCGTTTAGATTAATTTGTTTGACAATGCCGCAAAAATTTTCTCATTTGTATATGTAGTCACAGTAAGACAAGTACGAAATCGAAATTTTTTTATAAAACTGATTAAATAAAGCCTTTTAATATTTATTAGTGGTTTATAATAGTTTACAATAATCTTGTTAGTTAATATTACTGTAAGTATAAAAATTAGTGTATATAAAACTAATTCTATGAGAATTTTGGTAGTGGTACATATACATATATAATCCAAAAGCGTATTTGATTTCTGCCTAAAAAACCGCTTCTCGTATTTGTTCTATGTATGCAAAAATAAACTGAAATTCTTCATTTATGCAAATTTTCAAAAAATTTATGCCTCATTCGCTGTTTGCGCAAATTGCTCATTATACAAATGAACGAATAAACAAATATGGGCATAAGAACCTAAAAGGGCAGAAAAATCAACCAACAAACCAATTACAAATACGGTGTAATGGAAGTAGTTATAGGATGCTCTGCTAAAGTTCCATGGTTTAAGAATTACTGGTCAAATCATCCTTCGCAAAGTAATAAAGCAGTACAAGATACGATAGCTCGCAATCGTTTCAAACTCATAGCATCAAAATTGTACTTTACATCTCCCGAAAAACATGACGAATGCCGTAAAACATATATTGGTGACGTAGTGGTTTGTTTGAAAAAAAATTATGAAGTATTGAAATGATGGTCCCAACCAAAGTATTGATTAATCAATGACCAAATTCAAAAGGTGTTCTAGCTTGATATATATGCTCCGCAAGCCGCTATTATAGAGCTAGATTTTAGCCTATGTTTCGAAAGGTTTTTTAATTCACTGATCTTGTTGTCCAACAAAAAACGTTTACCTAAAATTGAGCCAAAAACTGAAAGGCAGAGAAGCAATTTTTCAAAGCTGAAATGCTGGACATCTATTTGTGAAACAGTAAGATACAAAAGATGTTTTGGTTTCGAGTAATTGCCGCACATCTAAAATGGCCGCTACCAAAACAATGAAAGATGATAAGAAACCAAAAAATTTTTGAAAAAAGTGCTTATTAGTTTCATCCTGTCCGTTCGTTCGTCCGTTCGTTCGTCCGCCCGTCTGTCCATGTGTCTGTTCACAAAACTTCTATACCCTTGAACTTCTACCTTTTACATATGTATGTCCCCCCTCTAAAAGTTATACCCCCGCAAAACCCTAAAAATGTCATTTTCTTCTAGACCCCATGTTGTGGGAGCCTGAAATTTTAATAACTTTTGGGCACTTATAAAATAGTTCATTTCGTTAGAAGAAAATTTTTTTCCATCTCCATCCCCTCTCGAGTTATCGTCTCTTGAAATTTGAAAAATTTTAATTCTTGACGTCTTATATTTCCGAAACCGTAAGCGTTTTCAAATTTACATTTTCTTAACTCACGCAACTAACTCTTAAAATCGAGAATTATGTTAACACTTCTTTAAAGTAATTTTTACTTTATTTCAAAGACTAAATATATGTAATCCTAGAAATACATAGTTTCATATATGAAAGAAAATAATTTTAATTGTGTGGTAGGTATACATAGATTGTTTTTTAAAGCAGTATTTTCACTTGTTGAAGGGAAAAGTGCTACGATACAAACCATTGGTTTGACCCAACTTTATTTTTGAAAAAAAAATAGTACTCGTATCTTAGCAAATAGCTCAAAAATTCCAATTGTAAAATGACAAATAATTATGTAAATTTTTGTTCCCTAAGTAACATTCTTTGCACTTAAATTTAAGATAGGACGTACATGCACGGGCAAGGTCATTTTATAAATAGATAATTCTTATTAATCTGCTTATAAAATTTGAAAAAAGAAACAAATAAATTTTGCAAGCACTAAATACAATATGTTTGAACTAGTTTCAAAGTTATGTACAAAAAACAAATTGTTTGCAAGTAGGTATATACATATTTGGTTTAGTGACTTAGAGGCTAATTGAAATTATTTAAAACAATTCTATAAGTATCTTTTAAATAACTGAAATGAGATTATAACTCAAACTGTTGAAATATGGTACATTATATTACTCTCATTACTTTTCTTGTTAGCCAACAACACTCAACTTACCTTAAAAAATACATAAAGTATATGAAAAAATGTATATAATATCGGGAGATTTTTTAAAATATTAAACTCTTTTTTACTTAAAAAAAGAAAAAAATACATAATAAGAAATATGACACGATCTAATGCCATATATATAAATCAGGTCACCGTGCTAAATTATTTTCCAAAATTTTGAATCGGAAAAAAATTACAAAAACAATTCTTAATGTTTTATGTTTTCGAAGTATGCCGATTGAAATATTTTTTTATTTTTTTTTATGAAATTTTTGAGCATTGCCCTGGTAAGTTAAGGCCACCGCATTAAAAAAATTTTCCGAAATGTTTCAATCGAGTCAACTTCGATATAATTGTATGGTTCTCGTCAATTTATTTTCTATTGAAATTATTTTTTAGTTTGAAAAAACTATTGAAGAAGTAGGTCCTTTTCATTTGCTTAATATTTATTTCTTTATTTTTATTTTCGTATATTATAAGGGGACGACCAATTAAGGGCACTTAATAGCTTAATAGAAAACATATTTCTTAAAAATATATTTTTGCATAAGTAACGTTTAAAATTTTACTTTTGCACATTTATTGGTTAAATTATAATACTTATATTATGTATATAAATAAATGTAACCAATAACAACAAACTATTATTTCTATTCTATGATTTTTTTCAAACTTGAAAATATATATGTATACTTTTTTTATCAAACATCCTATTTTTGCAAATTTATAGTTTAAAGTTGTCGAAGATATTCTGTACTAATTAGATTATTTAAAATACCCAATATTTTCTCCAATATAAAGATTTTTAAGTAAAATTTTCTAGTAAATGGAAAATATGCTTAGAGCTTTTTTAATTTACCCTATGAAAATTTTTCAATTTAAAATTTATTTTGTTTTTGTTTTTGTAATTTTACTAAGTACACTTTTAAATGGCAATGAGGAAGGTCTGTATTGTTTGATTTTCTATAAATTTTAGAAAATATATTCTTGAAAAAATTATTTTGAATGCAAACTTCCTTCTTTTGACAATTTTTGTTTGCAAACATCAAAATAAAATTCTAAAATTTATTTATATAAAAATATTTTTAGGCATTTTTAGATGTAAATGACTTTAAATATAAAAGGACGGTGATCGTTTTTTTTTCATGCAAAGTTTGAGTTATAAATTTTTCTAAAAATCGTAAAAGGAAAATGAGAGTTGTTCTCTCTACGTGTCTACCTTATATTTACTAGAGTGTTTTGAGTATTCTTTGTAACTCTCACTTTGTTTAGTATGTGTAGTTTTAAAAGCCCTCGAGACTAAGATAATTATTTTTTTACCTTTTTTTCAATTTCTTTCTATATTTAATTTCTTATTCAAAAACTTTACTCTGTAATTCAGTATCCTTCAGTATTTGGAAGACAAGAAAATGTCTGCGCTAAAAATTCTATTTTTTTTAAATGCATTTTTCAAATGGAATTTACTAACCGATTTTTTTGAAATTTAAATTTTAAATTTAAAAAAATACGTAGAATCAGTAGAGCTAAAAATATTGATCAATTGCCTTCACAAAAATAATTTTCGACACCCCTTCTATTTAAACTTCATGTAAATTTGGAATTTATTTTTGATTGGCTGTCTGACCATGGTGACCTGATAAATATAAAAGGCACTACACGATCAGTGGAATTAAAAAAAAAACTTCATAAAATAATTGAGCATTGGAACTTGTTAGATATAAAAACATTGTTTCAACAATTTGAGTTATTATCTCATTTCAGTTATTC